ATGAATAAGAGTAAATATTGCCTGATTTAAACCTGCTATAACTCTAAGGAAAGCAGACAGAACTCCATTAGCCCTGCAAAGGGCTGTGAGGCAGCACCATCTAAATGAAATCACGTTCATCAGTGCAAACCCATTTCCAACACCAGCACAGGGCAAACCACCCTCCATTCTGTGTCCTCAATAAAAAACATCCCATCTAGTGATACCGTGTTTCTGAATATTCCTTGCAGAAGGGAATATTTTACAAAAGGTGTGTCTCCTTTCAGCAGTTCCCAAAGCAGAAAAGGGCAGGATTTAGCCCCAGTGCGTTTAATCTCAAACCTCAGGCCACCTGTGGTGAGGGATCTCAACACACCAGCCCCACTGAGGCACCAAACTTTGTCCTTCAGAAGACAGAAACTCGTCCCCTTGTAGTTCATTGTCCTTAAAATCATAAATGCACAGTGTTTGTTCCCTCTGTGCAGAAAAGAGATGAGGAAATGCCTCTGGGATTAACTCACCACCAGCTCTGGGATCAGTGCAACTGGTTAAAATCCACCACCTCCTTTGGAAATAGCCGAGTGGGTAGAGGATGGGGCTAATAATGCCAATCTCAAGGGTACGATCCTTGCTTTTAGCCACTTAATCAAAATATAAATTTGATGGTTTTGGTTGGGCTCCTTCTAACTTGGAAGGAGTGCACATAACAAAGTGTGACTCAAGTTCTTGTAGCAGCACTGAATGCAACCATCAGTGCTCATCACACACAAATGGCCACTTACACATCACCTCTTTCATTGGTATGACTAAGTATCACTAGAACGCTATCTTATGAGTAACAAGTGAACAACTGTTCCCCTCACGGGGCCCGCCGAGGGCTGGGACTGTGCCCTGGGAACAGCAGAGGTGCGGCGCTGCCTCACCTGACAGCGTCTCGTGTCGCTGTGGGATCTCCCCAGGTGGCTTTAGGCCGTGTCCCGGCTGCACTGGGCTGTGTCCCGCTCGGGTGGCTTTAGGCCGTGTCCCGGCTGCATTGGGCTGTGTCCCGCTCGGGTGGCTTTAGGCCGTGTCCCGGCTGCACTGGGCTGTGTCCCGGCTGGGCTGTGCTGTGTCCCGCTCGGGTGGCTTTAGGCCGTGTCCCGGCTGGGCTGTGCTGTGTCCCGCTCGGTGCCGGCTCCCTGCCGGTTAAGCCCCGCTGAGGGGACGGGCTCGCGCTCCCCCTCACGGAGCTGCTTCACCCCCGGCCCGCCAGGGGGCGGCCGCGGCCGCTGTGGGAAGGGTGCCGAGTGTCGGAGCGTTGGCGCCGCTCCGCTTCCCTTTGATGACGCAGATCCTCTGTAGAGAGCCATGGCGAGTGATTTCTACCTCCGCTACTATGTGGGGCACAAGGGGAAATTCGGACACGAGTTCCTCGAGTTTGAGTTCCGGCCTGACGGTGAGAGCGGGGCCGGGGGCCGGGGGAGGCGAGGGCGGGCTGCGGGGCCGCGGGGCCCCGGCGTGGGTTAATGCGAGGGTTAATGCTCAGCCTCTCCCCGCAGGAAAGCTGCGCTACGCCAACAACAGCAACTACAAGAACGATGTGATGATCCGAAAGGAGGTGAGGGCAGCGCGGCTGAGGCGTTTGTGCCAGCGAAAGGCACTGTGGGCTGGGTCAGGCTTGATGGCCGGGGCGCTGTGGGCAGGGCTGTATTGATTTCTCTGCTGAATGTTGTGTCCAGGCTTATGTGCACAAGAGTGTGATGGAAGAGCTGAAGAGAATAATCGACGACAGTGAAATCACAAAAGAAGATGATGCTCTGTGGCCTCCTCCTGACAGAGTGGGCAGACAGGTACGGTGCATAGTGTCTCTTTTAATTGCTCTTTAATTTTCATGTGTTAGCTCCTTGGAAGTATAAGTAAACTTTTTCTTCAAGCCAGTATTTTTTCCAGCTGAAAGGGAAACAAAACCTCAGTAGTGCCTCAATGGCAGTGTAGTTGTGGAAGCTAATACAACCCACAGACCTGCTGCATTTGATATCTTTGCAATAGAAATTTGTAATAAAAACCATCACAGTACTGAAGTATTTCTGTAACTGGTACCATGAAGCAGTAAGTTCCTATATCCTTTTATTTTTCAGGAACTTGAGATAGTAATTGGTGACGAACACATCTCCTTTACCACGTCAAAAATCGGTTCCCTCATTGATGTAAATCAGTCCAAGTACGTACTCTGCTTTTTATGCTGCCCTTGTTTCTATTTATAAATCTGTATTTGAACTTCCTGATTATTTGGTACATGTATTTTATATCGTTTCAAAGTAGGAGTCAGCTCCTGGGGGCACCAGTGCTCTGTGTTGCAGCACAATGTGCCAAATGCCTTTAAGCTGTGGTGTTACAGGCTGTGTTCTCAAACTCAAAGAGCAGACCCTGCTGTAGGAACCCTGTTACACACATACAGTCTGAGCTGACATTGGCCTGTTTGTGCCAATTTCTTAGGAAGAATCAAGATAGCTGTATTTCACCTAAGCTGAAAAGGCTGACTGTTTGGGGGAAGGGGGGGGGTGGGGTGTAAAATCCTAAGTGCTGTTGATACCTGTTTTCATTATAAAAATGCATATTTTGTAAAAACTTAAAATGTTCACAGTTGGAGTACAGAATATTTAATCAGTGTAGAATGGAACAAATCTAAGATGACCTCTAAAAAGTCCCCATATTGGCTTTGGGTTTTTTTAATACATTAGTTCTGTAACCTGTTCTTTAAGAGCATCAGTCTAATTTAATTTTTTTAATCTTTTAATTTTTTTTCCCCTTTCTTCCTTCTTTTGTGAACTGCAGAGATCCAGAAGGCTTGAGAGTATTCTACTACCTGGTCCAGGACCTTAAATGTCTCGTCTTCAGTCTTATTGGACTCCACTTCAAGATTAAGCCAATTTAAATCAGACAAACTGAAGTTTGTATTGCAGTGTCAGCAGTAAGGATGGGGAGGGAGGATCCTGTTCCAGTTCGTCATTGTTTCTGAAATTTTTTTGTACTTTAGATTATTTTTTTGATTGTTATTTTGTTGTTGTTACAAACTGTCAGTGACTCAATAAAAGGGTAAGATTTCTGTTTTTAATTTTTAAGCTGTGGTGAGAGACTGACTTCTAATACTTCTTTTATAATGGTGCATTCAGAGTGTGTCACTTCACTTGTACCACCCACACACTGCACTTCTCTACACAGCAGTGGAAAAAGGAATGAAGCCTGGCTCTGTGAAACAAAACTTTTGCCAGTTGTCAGGGCAAACTTTTGTCACTGTCCTGAGCTGGGTGTTTTGTTGGCCAGCCAAGAACAACATCTGACTCTGCACAGGTAAATGGTTATAGCAGATACACATCACCTTCATCCCAGCCTGGGGTTACTTGCCTCCAGAGCAGAGACAAACAACAGGGGACAGAGGAGCCATCCGGGATCTTCACTGACTGTCCCGTTCAGCTTCAGAGAAGCTGAAAAGCAACCTAGAATGTATTTCGTTTAGTTCTAGGCTAGCACATCTGTTATGCAGCATTCATTAAAAGACTTCGAGCAGTCCCCCGCAGACCCTCAGGGCAGACCCCATGGCAGCGCTGCCAAACTGCGCTTTTGCTTTCTCTTAACAGGTCTGTAAGAAGACGCTGCGACTTAAAAAAAATATTAAAAAGTGATTAATTGATGTGTAATTTTGAATACAGTGTTTCCCGCTTTCCCTCCCCTCCCCACAGGCACCTCCCGCCCCGCGCGCACGGGGCGGTGGCGGCCACCATCTTGGCTGAGGGCAGACGCGGCTTCGCGCCGGCCCAGCCGGGCAGGGAGCGTGGAGGCGCCATCTTGGCTGAGGGCACGGCCGCGGGAGAAGGGAATAGCACAGAATCCGTGCGGCCATGGGGGTAGGTGAGAGCCTTGGCCGGAGCCTCGCGGGCCGTGGGGGCAGCGGGGAGCCTTGGCCGGAGCCCCGCGGGCCCTGGCGGTAGCGGGGAGCCGGGCCTGACGCCGCTCCGCCGCTTGCCTTGCAGAGGATCGGGCTGCAGCTCCGCGCCACGCTGGAGAACATCACCCGGCTGCGGGCCGAGGGCGAGGACTTCCGATGGTACCTCAAGGTGCGGGGCCGGGGCCGGGAGCGTATCCCTGATTATTGACAGCTTTCAAACTTCCGATTTGTGTTCTCCAGCTGAAATGTGGGAACTGCGGTGAAGTCTCCGAAAAGTGGCAGTACCTGCGGCTGATGGTGCGTGCGCCCCTCGTAACCTACCTCTGAGCAAAAATGTGAACACAAACCTGCCTCTTACACACGTCTCCGCATCAAGGATGTGACAGCTTACCTTCCAGATGAGATCGTTTTTTAATAGCTATATGCATTTAGAAAACTGTCATGTTCCGTATTAAAATAAATATTTGGAGATTGTTAATTGACGTGTGCCATTTGAATGGTGACCGTTGCTAACAAAGTATTACATCTGTTTTAAAAACAGATGTAAAAAATCTGTAAATGTATTTTATTCTGTAAATATATATTTCTCTGTAGCCTATTTCTCTGATGGTGATGGAATCCTTTTGGAGAAGGTTAGCATGTAAAATCAGCATTTGGAAGCTGAAAAAGCAGGATAAAATTTGTCAGGGATACTTGTCTGTTCTTAGAAACAATCATCCCTTTTTGTTGCATATAGCTGAATGGTAAGAATGTATTTTGAAGAATTAGTAGAGCATGCCTATACGGATAAGACACAAATATCTATTATTCCCTGTTTAAAGTCTAGAATAGAATTATTCTTTGATAATCTCGACTTGTTGAATTATTAATCTCTGTAGTTAAGAAAAACGCTGCCTTGTTGCAGTATTTTTAAGAAGCTAAAAAGGTTGTTGTAAAAACTACCTTACCTTTGCAGTGGCTAAGCTGAAGTGGATAAAAATGCCTCTCTTGTCATGGATTTTAGGACAGCGCTCCCCTGAAGGGCGGCCGAGGAAGCGCCACGATGGTGCAGAAGTGCAAGCTGTGCTCCAGGGAGAACTCCATTGGTACGTGCTGGGACACTGACCAGGCAGCGTCCATTTCAGTTTCTCTTTTAGTCCCCATTTTCGCTTGACACCGTTTGTAAAGAGCTTTCACCAGGGATTTCTGCCTTGTGCACTGGTGCTTGAGTTCCCAGCAGGGACTTTCTGGCCATCACGTTCAGGGAGACAGCAAGGCCTCCTGGTGAGTCCAGCCTTCTGCATGAACAAAACTCATCTGGATTGTGATTTTACAAAAGCATGCAAATCTTTTTGGCATTGGTATGGAAAAATGGTGCAGTGTAAACTAATCAGGAGAAGGGAGAAAAATTGAATTCTGCCTTTTGAAGACCAGCTGCAGGAAAACCTTACAATTCTTGTGTTTCTTTTGCTTTGTATAAGGAAATTGCTGTGAAAGAAGATCCTGGTCCTTGGTTTGTGCTGAATAAAACTGAAGGCATAGTGCCACTCACTTGTATACTTTCTTTTTTGTTTTGTTTTAGATATTTTAAGTCAGACAATCAAGCCTTACAATGTAAGTAAGTTTGTTTCCTCTTCTATGTGAAAGATAAACAAGCATTAACAGTATTTTGAGTTTTGCTTTATCACCCTCCTTCAAGAGCACAAAAAGCTGGTCTTGTCCCTGGACAGAAATTGTCTTGTAGACTTCTTTACAGTCTCAAGTGTAGAATAATCTGATAGATTTCAAAAGCCAACAGAGAACTATATCACCCAAATCAGAGGTGATTATATAATGCCCCTCTAGGCTTCCTTTCAAAGTCTTCCTCATGGCAGATAAAGAAATTCTAGTTAGGAGCATCAGAGATGACAATGCTGCCTTTAAAGCAATCCATTCCTGGACTAATGCTTGTCACTGTCTCTATTAGATGGAAACTAATGGTTTTCTGACTCAATCACAGGCTGAAGACAGCGAGAAATTCAAAACAATTGTGGAATTTGAATGCCGAGGTCTGGAACCAGTCGACTTTCAACCACAGGTGAGTTCTTATTTGTGATTTGTTTCTGTCTTTAAAAGCACTTCTTCTAGAGTGACAAAGTACACACTATTTGAAATGGTTCTGGAACATCTTGGACCATTCCAGATTCCCATCCTTCCACAGTTCCTTGTTTTGAGTTTTTCATTTGTCTCAAGAAAAAAAACCAAACCAAACCAAAAACGTGCCAAGAGCTAACACAAACAACTGGTATACTCTGTGCCAGTAAAATCTAAAGCTAAGCACACCTTGGAGTCATACTTTACCTGCCTCACAGGTAACTCAGTGTTAATCTGAATTCATCTGAGAGGTCTTCACTGCTCAGGTCATTGCAAAAGAGTCTTTCCCAAAGGCAAAGTGCAGCATTAGACAAAGCACCACTTGCCCCCTGTTGCATTACAGAGTCATCAAGCTCAGGTTAGGAACACACCTCAGTGTGTGTTGTCTAAACTACAAACAGATTTTCTTTGGGGTTGACATCACCAGAGCCACAGGAGATGAACACTGGCATTTTTCCATTTGCAGCTTGGGCAGACAAATCTTGAAGATCACTGGCAGTTGCAGCCTGTGCAAAGCACACCTCAAGGTTCAGAGTTAAAGGATTCTTCAGGGCCAGTCTGCAATGACTCATCTCTTGTGCATGGTCATGCTCTATGCCACTTAACTCCCTGCTATTTTTAACCTATTATTCCAGTCCGATTAGGTGTAAATAGACTGACAAATATAAATCTGTCTTATCCTTCTCTCAGACTGGGATGCTGTGCTAAGAAACAGCCCAAAAAAAGCTGATCCTACAAAGAATTTGATATAAATAGAAACCCTGCTGCAGTGTGCTGGGGGAAGTCTTTATTTAAGTGAAGTCCATCTTTTTGATGAATGGTTATGTCTTTATTCCAGAATGGTTATTAGTTTATTCCTGCTTGAAAGCTTTGCAACCAGACTTAGGAACTTGCATTTGAAGAAAAATCTAGATGAAGACTACAAAATGCAGGAGATGTTTATAGCTCTGCATCCTAGCTGTCAATTTTATTTACAGAACAAAGACTTCACAGCTGTAACAAAAGTTTTAATTTCATATTCTGAGTTTGGTGTACTTGAACCCCTGAAGAGGTATTCCAGTGAATTTTTGGATGCCTTAATCAGTAAATGAGTTTCTTGTTGCTCAAGTGACGTCTGCAGTTCTGAACAATTTTGTCAACTGCTTTATATTTGGCATGATCCTAGCCAGCCTGGCTCCTGCACAACACTAGATCTCACATATGATTAGCACTAAACACGGCATTTGGCCATATAATCACTGTATTTTCTCTGTATTTTTTGGTACACATAATACAACCACACCTGGAGTCAATTTAAAGTGGCTTAATGCTTGCATGTCTTATTTAAATTACAGTAGTTACCAAAAAAACCCAACAAACCCAACTACCACCACAAAACATTTGAGTGTTAGAGAGGAGAAAGTATCCTTTGTTTCTCTGATACAAACCTTAATTTTAGTTCCCTTGCAGAAAACCAGGAAGAAGCTACCTTTGATTTTCAGCCACTTGTTAATAAAATTCTGTAGTTAAAATTGACAGTGTAAGAAACCTTCTTGCATGCTACAGAAGTGGCTGGGATTTTTTAAATGTATTTTTAAAATTAGTAAATCTTACTGTACAGCTTGGTAACTGTGAACTCTAAAGTGAGAGAGCTGTTCCTATGGAAGATAAACCAGAGCACCTTCCTAGAGCTGTCCTTTCTCCACTCTTTCAAAACAGCAGCAGTGATGGCAGTGAAGAACTGTCCCCTGTGAAATGCTTGTTTGGGATACTAATCTGTTCACTCAGCCAGCTGATCCTCCTTACACATAAAGCTTGCTTGTCACTTGTGTGCCTAAATCCAATACAAGCTGCTCCTTCTCTGCAGTGTCTTGGATTCCAGTATTCAAGCCAGAACTATTAGCTTTCTTCCACATTTTCAATTAGTTTCCTTGCAATGTATTATGAAGCTATTATGCCTATGTGGACTCTGAACACAAAGCTATTGATAGTAATTGGATGCTGCTACAGAAACTTAGGAACTAAGCTTTCTTATCTAGAATAGTTGGAAATACTTTTTTTTTTTGCTGGGAAGAATAGAGGAGCAGTGTTCCCTCATTTTACTCTGGTTCCTTGGATTGAATTTTCCCAATGCTCAAGCAGGGTCCCAACCTTATACTGACCCCTGACTAGGAAAGAGCTTGCCCAGATCACTGGAGCAGAGTGATGCAGAGCTTGCCCATTCTTTCTGCCTAATTTAAAATAAATACATTTTTGTGCTGAGCTTTTCTTTAGATGTTTCAGTGTTCATATTTATTATTTTGTCAGTACAACATAATTTAAAAACCTTCTGCAAATGTGTTTGCAGGCAGGGTTTGCTGCTGAAGGCGCAGAATCTGGCACACCTTTCAATGACATCAACTTGTTAGAAAAGGTATGTTGTCTTAGTTTCACTAGCAAAACCTACTTACCTAGCTTGCCCTCCCCACATCACCACTCTTAAAACACACACCCTAAACTGGTTTTCCTCTTCCTGTAGCCACAGGAAGGCCACAGAAGGAGAAACTGAATCAAATATGAACAACTAGCATTACTGACAGTGTCCTTTTAGAAGTATGGATTTGTTAACTTAGCAGCTGACAAAGATTTAAGTCACTCAGGAATTCCAGAAACCAAGAACCTGGAATACTAAATGGCTGTCTAGGAAGATCCCTGCCCATTGTCCTGTGCACAGAGAGGTTGAAAAGTAATACAGACACTGTCCTTCATAGCTCAGGATAATGGCACCTTACAAATCTTCTTGGGTGTGAGCAGGAATCTCAAGGTCACATCTGTTCCCTGCTATCCTACTTGGCAGGGATCTGCTTGTCTGCTTACCCACCTGACTAGGGTATTGTAAATGATAGATAATCCTTTCACCTGCCATGGCTGCTGTTTGTCCACTACAGGCTGGGGACTACATAAGAAAATAAACCCCAGCAAAATATATATATATATATAAACACTGAGACTGAAGCTCATTTAATTTCAGGTTACTGATCTCGCTACTCTCACCTGTTAAAATTTAACTTCCTACAGATATCTAAGACCCAAACTTTGAGTAACATTTAGTTCCAGTTTGAATTCCAGTGCATTCTCTCCTTTGTGACTAACACTGAAATCCTATTTCCTACAGGATTGGAATGACTATGATGAAAAAACAAAGGAATCTGTTGGAATCTATGAAGTTACCCATAAATTTGTAAAATGCTGAAGTTCATACCTGTGACAAATTATGACATGGTTATTCATGGAGGAGCTGTAAACATCAGATCTGCAGCTTCCTTGGAGTTACTTTTTTACATGGCTGCACTTGAGAAATGGAAACCCAAGTTCACAGAATCACTTAGGTTGGAAATGATCTCCAAGGCTGAGTTCAACCTTTGACCGACATCGCTCAGTTGTACTTTCCATCCCCAGCATGCCCTAATAAAATATTTCCCATGGAGCACTTGGAGATGGCCTCAGTACAGACTGAAAATAGAACATATTGACTGAACAGTGCCATGGCCTTAATACTGTGGGGTTTGGGAATTACATGGTTGTGGTGGGCTGTAGCTTAGCTAATGCATTGAGTAACTGCTTACACAACTTACAGCCTTAAAGGTTTTAGTCGTTGGTCACCAGGAAGTACCTACATTTGATTGTCTAACATAAGCAAATAAAGTCTTCCCACTCAGCATTCTTACAGTGAGGAAATGGCTGCAAGCACTAGTAAAGGCAGTGTTAACTCTTCAAGAGAACAGCTACACCTCAAGCAGCTTTCTGCCACTTTAGGTAAAGACTGAGTTGAGTTTCCTGAGAACACTTCCTAAGCTTGACTGCTGCTGACATTTACACAGTTACAATCCTCTGAAAAGCAAGTTATCTTTCCAAGTAAGTCATTAAGTAAACCTCATTTTTAGGTGAAGACAGACTTTGTACTCCTTGGCGAGTGCATTCACAATCTTGCCAGCTGTTCTCATGTTTCAAAACAACACAAAAAACCCGACCAAACAAACCCAAAAAGGAAAAAAAAAAGCCCACCCTTTAGTCAATTTTATTCAGACTTTTGGTCTGATAATTGTGCCCTGATAGGTTATTTTCTGCATCTTCCCAAATTATCACCTTTCTTTGTTTAAATGAACAAAAACAATCATGCTGAGTTTTAGAGTAAGTTTTAAAATACTGCTTTTCAGCTGAAAACTAGAACAGCACATTACAAGAGCAAAGCCTTCAGGCTTACATATGAAAGGCTTTCCCCTGCTAGCACTTTTATTTCATACTTCAGGATAGGGTATTGCTTACACTTACTGTGCTAAATTAAAAAGACCGTGGGAGAACCTGGAAACTGAGATACCCAAAGGAAGAGCAAAGGGAAGCGGTTCCTGAGCCTCTGAACCTGATCTGTCACATCCAACCAATGTGCTCAGACTTT